ACATAATTTCCAGAAAAATGACTTTTAGGCTCTTGACTACCTAGCCATAGCCGTGCATGAACTAGCGCAAATGAGTGAAAGACGATTGGAACGACTGGTGAATAATCATCTCAGCGGTTTACCGACATTCCTTACCCCAAATGGTGGATTGAACTCGGGATACATGATGGTGCAAGTCTGCGCTGCTGCTCTGGGTAAGATTTCACTCCGTGATTCCGAAAAAATGTTAAAATCAGAAAATTCCTTCACACATTTCGATTTCGCAATCTAAAAAAATTCATGAACTTGGTGTGCGCACCTCATGAATTTCTTGTTGAATTTTTCCCTCCTGTATTTTGAAAATCAATACCATATCTATGGAGCATGCAGATTATCAGACGGTTGAATTTCCCTAATATTTTTGAAAAATGCGCTTTCAAAAGAGGTTCCATTTTTTATTTAGCGCCGGACTTGCTGAAAATTGAGACCTTTTCACAGTCGCAAGAACTCCAAAAATTGGGGTCAAAAAACGGACTTTTTCAGCATATATTTAAAGACCGAGCTCTTCAAATTACTAGAAAACTTCATTTGAGTAATGCGCTGTAAAAATCTTTTTCAGAAATGATATTGTTAGAAAAGTTCCTATAAGCCATGCAAATAGAGCGAGGGCTTCAGCTATAGCTATGACTATTGAAAGAGGTCTTTTGCTTTTTATGCATGAATTTTTCTGGTTTGAAATTTTCCTTTGTGGTTGGGATAAGGTTCGTGAGGACCCTTATCCCAACCACAAAAGCGAAAGATTCGTAATTTTTTCATCAAACGTTTCTGATTGGCCAGATTCACAATTTGGTAAACAAGTATAATCGTTGAAAGATTGCAAAAACAAAACGACTATGATCAGGTAATTTTAATCGAGAAAATTTGAGTTGACTGAGGTTTTTCAATTATGATATTTTTACCGGTTAGAAAGATCAATCTCGAAACTGAAAAATCTATCCCTAGTTCACACAAATTCGCTGGTGTAATGGCAGAAACACCATTTTTGAGTTACAATTAGTCATTACTTCCTTGTCCTCAATCTTCTCAAACTAACTCCAGACGTTCTGATCCATCTTAAGCGAGTCGCAAGATCAAATGTTTGCTTTATAGTCTTGAATGACTGTCAGCTGAGGTATAAGTGGGCACTATAAACGACCGTACAGTCGTAAAAAACCGTCTAATTACCGTAACCCGGAACGCACGCTCCTCCGCGTCATGGTCATGGGGTGTGGGGCGAGTAGATGAAGGGTCATTTGGGGGAAAAGAGAAAATGATGGATTTAGGGGGGTCTAGGGTCTACCGTAAGTCGAGATCGAAGTTTTGAAACTTCAGAATCGATTTTTTGTTTGCAATGTTTTGAAATTTCGGGTCCTGCAAAGAAAATTTGGATTGCGAATGTAAATGACCCCTTTTGCGCACAATATTTTATTCTTTTTCTGTATTTTTCTTGAAACAATTATTTTAGTATCCGAAAACAAAGTCCTTTGCCATCCCTCATCTGTCGACAGTATTCCCACTAGCTGCAATCAGGAGGATCACGTAAGTATGGGCGGTTTCGCTGCCCGGAAGGCAATTACCGTAATCGAGCATGTCGAAGCAGGTACGGTATCGGGCGAGCTCCAATCAATCGCTTTATTTGTATTTTTTAGTGCTGGCAATGGAACTTATGGCAGCATGCCAAGGTCTTGAATTCCTTAAACCTTTGATCTCAACGGCTCCACTAAATAAGGTCTATCAGCTGGTCAGGACTGTTACCCCGTAAGTTTGGCTGCTTTTCTACAGTATGCCTACAGTATCTTATAACGTATTAAAGGCCCTTGACTGAGGATCGTTTCATGCAACCAGAAATTGAAGCTGTGACACAGTTGTTAAGAGAGAATAAGGTATGACTCCTCTTTTATCCCCCCCCCCTCCTTAGCAAAAATTTTTTTACTTTCACAATCACCCAATCCCAACCTCATTCTCTATTCATAGCGCGAGTTCCGAACTCGTATAGTCCAAACAAACAACTCTCGTGGACCCTAACTCTGCAACCCTTGCCCCCC